ATCAATCCGCTCAACATGGTCCGCCCATGCGCGACGTCTGGTTTGAGACCATCGAACTATATCTTGGACATCACTGACATAGTTATGGCTCCTCATACATCTCCTGAAATGGCATATCAAAACCTACAATATTACTTATTGATGCTGGAAATATGGTTTGAAGAGTGGCGAGTAAAAATAATTTCGAATAAGTTTACTCATATCACATTCACTCTAAAAAAGGGAATCTGTCCTACTGTTACATTAAATAATGCTCCATTACCTATTCAGAATGAAGTCAAATACCTGGGAGTTTACCTGGATCATCACCTAACCTGGAAAAAGTATATTTGGACTTAACGGCTTCAGCTAGGACTGTTCTACAGGAAATGCACTGGTTTATGAATAGATACTCATAACTTAGCCTAGACAATAAGTTGCTTATGCAACTTAATACTAGAATGATGACTAGAATGATTCGTCTACAAATTTTTGGTATAAACCCATAAATGGCTAAGATATGGGCTTTCAAAATTAAGAAATTTTTATACATTTTCTTAAATATTTTCAATATGGTTTGTCTTAGAAAGATAGAACTTGATAAACAGTATAATTTTACCATGAAAAATGGTTTAAGATTACTTTTGAAAATATGCAATAATGCAATCACGGGATCAATGTTCAGAAAGGTTATTTCCTTAAAACTTTTTTATCATGTCATAAACCCTTAAATTTTACATTCAAAATTATTTTCAATCTTAGAAATTTTTGTTTAAACGCATCGTTTTCGAGTTTGCAAAAAGATGCAACCTCGATTATGAAATGTTTTCATTAGTCGTAGGTGCCTATGAAAACAAATTTTAACTGGAGCAGTAAAGCAACTGTCAAATCATTACCCAACATTCGTCAGTCGGTAATAGTTGTTTAAAATGGCAAATAATTACAGTTTTAGTGAGCAAACTGACATGCATTTAATGTTGGGAAAGTGTTTAGGCAATGTTAACGCAGTGGTGAGATGATATTGCAAATAACTGATGATATTGTTGACATCAACAGTTCGGACATTTCCGAATATCTAATACTACGGCTTGATGTTTGCCACACGAACAGCAATTGTATCCATACCATTTATCGTCAGCACAAGAATTAAAAATTACTGATCATCCATTGTGAGTACAGTTTTGCCATACTATGATGGAAAAATGTACTATTGATGCTGCGTGTTTAGAAAAAATACTTTTTGTCGATGACCATTAATTTGACATATTAGTTTACTGCTTTTCTTATGATTTATTTTCATGGGTGCCTATGATTAATGACATTATTTCAATGACGAGGTTGTATCTTTTTGTGAATAACTCTAGAACGATGCGTCTAATCAAAAATTTCTAAGAGTGAAAATAATTTTAAAATAAAATAGGCTTTCAGAATCAGTTGGAAATTTTAAGGGTTTACGACATAATAAAAAAGTTTTCAGGAAATAACCTTTGTGAACACCTGTATAGCATTGATCCCGGGGTTGCATACTTTCAAAACTGATCTTAAACGATTTCTCATGCTAACATTGTATTGTTTGCCAAATTTTATTTTTCTAAGACAAACCATATTGAAAATATTTAAGAAAATTTTAAAATTTTTTTTAACTTTGAAGGTCTGTATCTTAAGCTCTGTCTAAATCTTTGGGTTTAGACCAAAAATTTTTACACGAATCGTCATCATTCTAACTCTAGTATTTGTGAATAAAGTTATGCCACGACTTATAGAAACACCCTGAATATATTGCCATACTGAAATCTGGTTTAGAATACAGTATTCAATTATGGGGCACCGCTAGCAAATCAAACGTTTTGCAGCTGCAGCGATTTAAGTCTAAAGTTCTTCGACAAATATGTAACGCATCTTGGTTCATACCTAAGTACATCTTACATCAAGACCTCAATATGCTTACTGTAAAAGAAGTAATTGCCCAGTAAAGTTTCAAGTACCTACATAGGTTGCAAATTCATACAAACCGACTTGCAAAATGTTGCGTCGGGCAACTATTAAAAAATTGAAGCCAAAGGACCTACCAGAACTATCCATGTCGGAATAAAGAACGTACCCAGTCTTGCCGTTTCGGTACAATTGTACTGAATTCAGTACGATTTCATGGATAAAGTACGTGAAAGTAGTAATTCAGTATAAAATTTTTAATCGGTTCAATTGTACTGAAATCAGTACATTTTTAGGGAATACAGTACAGGGTGTCCCAATTTCGATGTCCGCATAGGCTATCTCCGAAACTAAAAGAGATAGAAAAAAAGTGGCTCACATGTCATGATCTCCTTTTTCCAAAAAAATGCTAATGCCGAAAACTGCTGATGGAGTATTATAAATAAAACATTATATGGGCAACTTTTTACGAAGAATTCAGTGGCGTAGGAAGAATTTTTTTCCCATCTTTTATTTTCGAGATTTTAGACGTAACTTTATTTTTTTAAATGGAAACCATAGTTGGCTATGACCTAAAATAATTTGTTATTTTCTTCTGATAACAAATATATGTAGTTTGTGGGGTATATTTCTTATAGTTATTGAATAATTAACAAAAATTCATTTTGTTCTACCTAAAACTAATGTATGTATTTAAAAGTTAATGTTGCTATGGTGATAACCATACATACATACTATGATGGAACATAATGTATCAATTTTTTTTGTTCTTTCTGAAACTATTGTATGTATTTAAAACTTAACTGTTGTTATGGTGATAACCATATCATGATGGAAGATATTGTTTCCAATTATTGCCAAAGTTTGTAGCAATATTTAAAAATTCACTAACAACTCTGGTATTATGTACTGTGCTCCGTCGTGAAAATATATCATTTGAGACATATTTAATGGCAAATTGTCGACCAAAGGCTCAATGTGCTGCCTTAATACATTGAGGTATTTACCTTAGTTTAAGTTTTTATGGTAGATACTATATGCCAAAATTCTATTATCTAAAAGGGCACACCATACATTGAACCCTAATCTTCTTTGAACACTCAGAGACTTCATTGGTCCAGATGACATTTTGAACAAACAGCAGATTATTTAATTTTTCTAAATATCATCTACAAAATTCTAATCTTAGATTGACATCTCCGGCACCTAAATAATGAGTTAGCCAAGCTTTGTATGGTTTATACTTATTTTTCTTTCACATTCAGCGGCTTTTGGGTCAGACGTCTTGTTCAATTTCTCTGCAAGATGTTGATGGATTTATCGCAAGTGAAGCCAACACATTGACTTCATCCTCTTGCAGGTTATTTTGGTATGTTTTTGCACGTGGTTTGGGGAAGGACCAAAAATCTATTAAATTTTCTGCTAATCGGCTGAAGGTTCTTACGTGCGGTTGTCTTCTTTCCGGATACCTTGTGAAATATAATTCCGCGGCTAACGTCGCATTCTTATCTGATAACATATAGCATTCCATCATATTACAGTTTTCATAATTTTCGAAATTCATTGTAAAGTTTTATTCAGTTTTATTATACTTTGACACTTAACATGCTGGTGCTTCGTACCAGCACATAATGCCAGAGTTGTTATCAAATTATTAAATTCAAACTTAAGCAATTATTTGATACATTATGTGCCATCATAGTATGTATGGTTATCACCATAGCAACATAACTTTTAAATACATACATTAGTTTTAGATAGAACAAAATGAATTTTTGTTAATTATTCAATAACTATAAGAAATATACCCCACAAACTATATACAGTGTGTCCCCGGATAGGTGAAACGACTCTTATAAAACGTAAAATTTTTTTTTTCGATATTAATTGTCATTTTTTGGGGTTTGGCTCTGTTTGATTAAAGACTAATTTTGAACATATTTTCAAGTTTTAAAAAACAAGTGCCCCTGGACGGTGAAAGAAAAACTCTTTTTGTGTCAGGTAAAGTACCATTTCTGTTTACAGTACGTGAAAGTGTTACTAAGAAGTTTTGTTCAGAATGAAAAATTATGGCCATATGCAAATTTTCGGAATGATCGGCCTACTTTGGTAAAAATCTTTTTACCTGACACAAGGAGTTTTCGCTTCAGTGTCAACACTCACTTGTTTTTTAAAACTTGAAAATATGTTCAAAATTAGTCTTTCACCAAGCAGGGCTAATCCCCAAAAAATGACAATTAATAACGAAAACATTTTACATTTTATAAGAGTCGCTTCACCTATCCGAGGACACACTGTATATTTGTTATCAGAACAAAATAACAAATTATTTTAGGTCATAGCCAACTATGATTTCCATTTAAAAAAATAAAGTTACGTCTAAAATCTCGAAAATAAAAGATGGGAAAAAAATTCTACCTACGCCACTGAATTCTTCGTAAAAAGTTGCCCATATAATGTTTTATTTATAATACTCCATCTTTGATAAATTAATAAGTGAGATATTCGCCAATGTCGTTTTCGCAAAATTTTCAGTTTTTGCCGATCTTACCACAATTTTATCATTCAATCGCAATTTTCAGTACTTCTTGCAAATTTTGTTTTACCTTATTACTAAAATCCTCCTCAATTTTCTCTCTCAATTCAGTAATTTTTTTTCATTTTCATTTAGAATTTTGGTACATTTATTTTCTTGCGTGCGGCAACATTGAACGTACCTATCTTTCATTTATTATTGTAAGAATGTTATTGTTTTTCATAACCATACATTAATACGGTTTTCTTTTGGACTTACTATTGAGCGCGTTCCTACTGTGTTATTATTGTTATTTTTTTTGTATTGTCAGTAATAAAATTAAAATTAAAAAAAAATCTCTTTAAAAGAAACAGTTACTATTTATACTACAAAATTTCCTTTTTTAGTCTATTTATAACCCCAACGTAATAAAGTAACTAGGATATCCGCTCGGACCCTCTCATATTTATAACCCGTGACATCCTTTCGACCGCAGAATGGAATTTTAAAAGTCCCGCTCTTCGCATTCCATTCCGAACGCACTGGCGGGCGTCGTTCGGCTAACTTCGTTACAGATCGTCAATAGAAGTCATGGCTGCAAGTGAACTGTCAATAGAGCAAATTCATAAGTTTTTATTAGAAAAAGGTGGAATTGTGCCAAATAGAGACGTTGTCAGACACTTTAGGGGATACTTAACCGACCGTGCATCCCAAGGTAAGTAATTTTAACCCATTATCGCTCATGACACGCTAGAAATCACTTTGTTTACATTGGCTACCTGTGGATACTTCATGTTGGATAGGTTAGAATTTTCGAACGTCTTGAGTTTTTAGTACGATTGTGAGTCACTGTGACCTTTAAAGTTCTTTCAAGTTTTTATTAATAAAGAGAAAAGTTCCTTTTAATATCATTTAGGTTAGAAAATTAGTTATAAAATTTCTAAGTAATCGCTAATGAATTGATTAGTAAATAAATCGTTTCAGTTTTAATCTAATCTTTTTTATCATTTTCCTGTATTTATTTAACGATTATTTTTTCATATAAGTGAAAAAACCAATAACAAATAAATCTTCTTTAACATTTAGGACTTGTTACCTAATCACATTTTGTAATTGGGTCATTTTACAATATCTTTAACGTTTAGTAATAATTACTTAACCCTTGACATTTCATCAACACTATCTTAATTGCTTAAAAGAAACGTTGATATTCTATTACAGTTACACCGCTTTGATATTAAATATTGTTAAATCAACAAAAAAAAAACATTTATGATTCAAAAGTTCAGTTAAACTAGATAAATAATTATGCTTGATTTTATGTAAACAAGTTGCCAAATTTCAAGAGTGCTGTTGTTTAGAACTAGATATCATTTTGTGCGGATATCAAACTTATTTTGTTGATTGAATTCATTTAATTCGTTCAAATAATCGTATTACACAAAATATGTAAAGAAAATAATAGTTATCTATATTTAAAATTATACTTAAAATCACAAATCAAGTGCATTAATAAGTATTCGAGATAGGTACGTAAATATCTTGTGTCTTTGATTTGTTTCCTGAGATGGTCTAAAATCAGTAAACATTACCGAATGAAGAAAAAGTAGAGGTATTTATAAGTTTTGCTTAAACTACAGTAAAACATTTTTTGAATACATCATTTTTCACAAATTTAGTCTTATTTTAACCCGCAGGTACTATCGTTGTTTTAATACACGTAAATACTATAGTGGGGTGTTTAAACACCCCAATATACAGGGTGATTCACATAAGAACCGACACAGAGCAGGGACATGTATAGGACAATAAATTAAGATGATTTAACGCAACTTATCTCTATACCAAGTTGTACTTCTGAGGAGTTATAAGCTTTCAAAGTTGGGTCTTAAATTTTTAAAACATTGAATGTCTTCGTAATACATTAAGCTAGAAAAACCAAATTTGGTATACGTTATGAGTGTACCGAGGGTATTAATTGGTAGCAAGTAGAGACCAATTGAAGCATTTCAAAAGGTTGATTAAGGGTGATGGTTCCCTAAATTTTGGCAGACTTTTTTAACCTTTTGGCGGATTTAATACATTACTACTTCATTTCATGTGGAATTTAATTCTAAAACTTTTTTTACTCTTACTATTTTTTAAAAAACATTGTCGTTTTCATAAAAAATTCAAAAAACTAAAGACGCGTATCTTGTTAATGCTACTTAAAATCATCGAAAATTCAGTAGTCGGCTGTGAAATTGTACGTAATTGGAGGAATAAACTGTTTATTATGAGCTAATAAGACATCATCCACAATCAAATTTAGTTTAGGCATAATAATTTTTTAGTGATAAAGAGAAAATCCTCAAAATGTCAAAATTAAGTATTTGTGATTTTAAAATCGATCATAACTCAAGAATGAAAGGTGACGACGAAAAGTTTTTTAGGAATAAATTGTTTATTATGAACTAAAAAAACATCATCCATAAACAAATTTAGATTAGGTATAATGATTTTCTAATGATAAAAAGAGAAAATCATCGAAATATCAAAATTGAGTACTTTTGATATTAAAATTGATCATAACTCAAGGATGAAAGGTCATGGAGAAAAGTTTTTTAGGAATAAGTTGTTTATTGTCAACTAAGAAGACATCATCCATAAACAAATTTAGTTTAGATGTAATGATTTTCAGGTGATAAAGAGAAAATTCCCAACATGTCAAAATTGGGTACTTTTGGTGTTAAAATCGATCATAACTCAAGAATGAAAGGTGATGGAGAAAAGATGGAGAATACCTTGTCGTCAAATAACTTTATACCCTATTTGTCAAGTTTGACGTAGTTTCATAGCCGACTACTAAATTTTCTCTTATTTTAAGTAACATTACGAAATACGTGTCTTTAGTTATTTAAGTTTTTTATGAAAACGACAAAGTTTTTTAAAAAAGAGTACGAGTAAGAAAAGTTTTAGAATTAAATTCCACATGAAATGAAGTAGTAATGTGTTAAATCAGCCAAAAGGTTAAAAAAATGTGTCAAAATTTAGGGTGCTATCACCTTTAATCAACCCTATGAAATGCCTCAATTGAGTTCAATTTGCTATCAATTAATACCCTTGGTACACTCATAACGTATACCAAATTTGGTTTTTCTAGCTTAATGTATTACGGAGATATTGAACTTCTTAAAAATTTAAGAGCCAACTTTGAAGGCCTACAATTCCTGAGGTGTACAACTTGGTATAGAGGTAAGTTACGTTAAATCATCTTAATTTATTGTCCTCTACATGCCCCTTTCTGTGTCGGTTCTTATGTGAATCACCCTGTATATTTAAAAATAAAAAAAATATGGTTTGCAATTTTTATGTTTTATGACATAGGTGTTCACGTTGGATGTATATACAGGATGATTCAAAAAACCGCTGACAGACTTTAGGGCGGGTAATACATCAAAAATTAAGATGAAAAGTCTTAATATACATGGGGTCGCAAATGTCTCGTTGGCGAGATATAGTGGATCAAAGTTTCTTTAAAATTAAACATTATGTGCAATATAAAGCACTTTTTTAAAAATATTGTCTACGCCATTGCTCTCTACGCGTGTAAAGTGATCAATTATCTATCAAATGGTCTCTTACAAAACTTTGATCAAAGCAATAGTTTTTAAGAAAAACACGTTTGTAGAAAATTTGTTAATTCAATCAAAAACTGTTCCCTTAATCAAAGTTTTGTAAGAGACCAATTGATAGATAATTGATCACTTTACACGAAAATACTGTACGTTTGACAAAAGTAGCAGTAGAGTTGAAAATATTTTTAAAAAAGGGCTTTTTATTGCAGATAATGTTTAATTTTAAAGAAACTTTAACCCGCTATATCTCGTTAAGGAGGCATTTGCGACCCCATGTATATTAAGACTTTTCATCTTAATTTTTGATGTATTACCTGCCCTAGAAGTCTGTCGGCGGTTTTTTGAATCACCCTGTAGAAACATTATAAGCAACATAAAATTTATTGTCATTACAGGGGATCGAAATAAATAAACTTTGATAACTTCATATAAATACAAACAAAATAAATGGTTACCTTCTTTAATATAAAAATACTACATAATAAACTAAAAATATTGTTTTATGATGTATTGCATATGAGTTTAGGAACATGTATCCTAGTCTTTGTAGCAAAAAAATAAGGTCAACATAAAAAACAAAAAAAGAACGAGCATGTTTGAACTGGAAAAAGCAACGAAAAATCGAATATTACAGTGCATAAAACTATTGGAATTGTTTTTACAAACATTCTTCTTGCATATTTGACATGTTGTTTTGATTTTGCTGTGTTGTTTCCTAGAACACATATAGCAACGGCCATAAGAACTGGAACATCCACGGTTTACAGGTCCGGGTTGATTTGGAAGTTCGAGTTGGCTTCTGTTAGGTACACCATCGTCCAGTATATTTTTAATTATACACCTTAGATCTCTAGTCAGTTCTTTTTCTTCAAGTCTACATTTTACATGATCATGAATCAACGATTTGGCAAGATCAATTGTGAATTTACGTCGTGATGTTTTGATATTTGCTTGGGAAGCCTAGGTAAAATATAAAACTGTTCGATCTTGCAATGTCAATAATAGCACGAAATACAGCCATAGGCCACCTTTTAGTTCTTCTTTGATAAGAATAAGTCGCGCAGTGTTGATCTAGAGTGTCCACTCCACCCTTTATTATAAAAATTAATGATCTCAGGCTTCCCGTTTTCTTCTACATTTGACGCATGGTGCATGGTTGAAACCAGTACAACCTATCTATTCTTCTTAGGTACATATGATACTATTATATCATTACGAGTAATTCCAAAAATAGATGATCCCTGTTCACGATCTCTGCTTCGGAGGAGTTGCGGAGGAACCTCTCGCTTGTTCTTTCGTAAGGTACCGACATCCGTTAGACCAATATCTCTCAGTTCCTTCATTAATTCAATGGAACTAAACCAGTTGTCTCCCGTGATATTTCGGTTGGTGTTCCTAATAGGTTCTACTAACTTTAGAGTACTTTGAGTGGGGACTGACAATTTCTTTGGATTTGGTTCTTTACATTTTTTGCATCACATAAGCACATTATTTTCGATCCATATTTTCTTGGTTTCCTTTTAATGAACTGTCGGAAGGAGCGTTTTCCTCTGAAACCAACTAACATTTCATCTACCACCGCATATTCACTACATGAGTAATTTTTTTTACATTGGGTGTTAAATATATCATATATTTTGGAAATTGCAGCTAGTTTGTCCCCACTTTCAATTCTTTCCTGTCGGGAAGTCCAGTCATCAAAGCGATTAACAGAAATAAAAATCTCTCCTTGGGCATAGTCCCGCGAAATATATCTCTCCCTAAACTATCGGTACTAAAAAGAGAGTTCACGTCTTCATGGTTGGATTTGCATACTCCTGTTAGGAGCATCAAACCGAGGAATGCTTTCAATTCTATCTCGTCCATGTGTCTCACAAATGTAGCTGTGGGACCGTAGCTTACACTTAAATCTGTAATTTTAGAGTTGGTGTGTTCCAAAATTTCAGATATGATCGCATCTGTTATCAAAAGTGACCAACATTCACAGGTGCGTTATCTTTTAGGCGTGGAAGATGTATTATGTTCTCCTGTCGAGTTCTGGAAGAAGCCGGTGGAACTTTTGACCACTTGCATCTATTTTTGCCATAAAAAAATTGCT